CTGCCCTCAACCCTGCTTCCCGGTGGCTGGTTTCCCCCACACACACACCTCCTCCCAGCCCACCCTGCTCTGCTCCCCTCCCCTCCCGGCAGCCATGCTAAGGCCCGGTATTTTTTTTTCCATGGCCCGGTACTGAGCCGTGGCCCATAGTTTGGGAAACGCTGGCATCGCTTATTTCAAAATAGCCTATTTCAAAATTGGGAATGTCTATACAGCACTTATTTTGAAATAGAGCACTCTTCCTCCAATTTCCCTTACTCTTCATACAATGAGGGTTACAAGAGGTGGAGTGAGAAGTCTTCCAGTATGACGGTATTTCAACACTATTTCAAAATAATTGTCTGCTGTGTTGACATGGACTAAGTTATTTTGAAATAATGTTGCTGTGTAGACCTTAGGATGCATTAGGAGAGGCATTTCCAGCAGATCTAGAGAAATTATTATTCCCCTCTATTCAGCACTGGTGAAGCCACATCTGGAGTACTGTGTCCAGTTCTGCCCACCCCACCCACCCTCCATGGAAAGTGGACGCACTGAAGAGGGTCCAGAAGAGTGCAACCAAAATGTTTAGGGGCTGGAACATGTGACCTACAAGAAGAGGCTGAAGGATTTGTACTTGTTTAGTCTGCTAAAGAGAAGAGTGAGGAGGGATTTGTCAGCAGCCTTCAACTTCCTGAAAGGAGGTTACAAAGAGGATGGAGAAAGGCTGTTCACAGTAGTGACGGATGGCAGAACAAGGAACAATGGTCTCAAGTTACAGTGGGAGAGGTCTAGGTTGGATATTAGGAAAAACTATTTCACTAGGAGGGTGGTAAAGTTCTGGAATGGGTTCCCTAGGGAGGTGGTGGAATCTCCATCTCTAGAGGTTAAGTACCAGCCTGACAAAGCCCTGGCTGGGCTGATTTAGTTGGGCTCATCCCGCTTTGGGCAGAGTGCTGGACTCGATGACCACCTGAGGTCTCTTCCAGCCTTAGGATTTTATCATATGATTCTATGACATGCCGGTGGTCATGGTACATCGATAGGCAAGAGGTCCTGGAAGCAAATTTAGGTGCTAGGGAAGAGATTGAAATCCAGGGCCTCAATGTTAGTGTTCTCTGAAACGCTTCCAGTTCCAAAGGCGGGGCCACGTAGACAGGCAGAATTGCAGGGTCTCAGTGCCTGCATGAGACAATCATATAGCTTATTTCAGAGGGGTTGTAGTATTGCCACCTTTACTTGTGCAGTGCCTTCAGAGAAAAGTACCCAGAGAGTGGGGGCTACTGGCTACATACCCAGCTCCGAATGCAGCACAGAATGGTAGCAATATCACAACTCCTCCAACAATAACCTTGTGACACCTCTCCACACCCCACAATTCCTTTATTGGTCAGGATCCCAACAATTACACGACCATGAAATTTCAAATTAAAATATCTGAAATAAGTGATATTTATGGTTTTTAAAATCATCTGACTGCAACACTGACAGAAAGGGACCACGAATAACAACAGATACTACTTTTGTCTTTAGAAGAATTTTTGTACTCATACACATGTATCATTTTTTACTTCAAGTTATGAGTACTGGCTCTGTACTTCTATTTGGTGTTTTGTTTTTGGGAGATTAACAACAGGCTTCACCCACCTGTTGAGAAAGTGTCACTAATCATATATATAGAAATACTTGACTGACAATGCACCTCAAGTGGTGCCAATCCACAGCTGAAGACTTTGCTGTGTACTTCACACCAACATATAAGACATGGGTCTTGTATAAAAGGAGAGTCGTGAAGAGACAGGTGACTTGGTCAAGTGACAAACTCCATTTTAGAAGGTACTTTCACACAGCAAGAACAATGGAATTCCCTCCACAAGGGCAAGAGTATAAAGGGGGCCCTGAGGTTTCTCCATTTTTGTCTTTATTCCAGCTTATCACTTCAGGAGCATCTTTGCTATAAATTGAGCCCAAAAGGACTGATGGCCCACCCTAACAAAGGATGTGATCCAGAGAGATTTAAGATAGCTGTTTATTCCATCTCCGTTACAAGCCTGCACCAGGAACATTGCAACAGGTATATGTATTTTATTTCTTTTAACAATTTTACTCTCAACACTTTCTTTCTTTCATTATTGATAAATCATTTGATTTTAGATTCTAAAGGACTGCCACAGCATGCTCTTTTAGGTAGGATCTAAAGTATAAATGGACCTGGAAATGCGGCAGATTCTTGGGGATTGTGAGAACCTGCTTGGATTTGGTATGATTGGTTTTTATAACCTTCATCTATGGAAGGTATGGTGCCAGTTGTGGCACTAGAGAAGCTGAGGGGGTTTCTCTGCAGTGTGGCTTCTCCTATGTCTAACAAGGACTGGGCTCTCACTGAAGCTTTTATCACACTTAGGGCATTTATACTCTGTTCCACTGAATTTTTCCCACACATGCGTAGAATGAGTTTTGTTAGGGGCACCAACAGGGAGGGAATGTGACACCATCTCTGTATTGGTGCCCAGAACTAAGTTCATATGGTAGGAGTGGGGATCAGCAGTTTGGATTGTGCAAAGGAGGCTCAGGGCTGGGCAAAAAGTTGAGGAACAGGGGTGTGAGGGCTGGCTCTGGGGTGGGGCTAGGGATGAGGGCCTCAGGGCTAATTGAGGGCTCCAGCTAAGGGGGTGATCTCAAGGATAGAGAGGATTGAATGCAGGCCACTGAAAGGCTACATCCAGGAGAGAAAACTCCCATGAGCTCACTCTGTCTCTGTCGCAGTTATGGTGCTATTGTGAAGGGGGAGAGGGGGAAGAAATCTTTTTGCCATGGTAGCTCTGCAGCTGCAGGATAGCCAACTATCCTCTGGCCAAGGCAGCTCTGGTCCGGGGTTGAGACCACTGGATAGAGGTATCTCCCCCTCTCCCCACCCTCAGAGCCCTAAGAGCTCACATGGCATTGAATATTCTGCAGAAGAGCCACATGGCCACACAGCTGACAGCAGAGTTAGGCAATAATTTTTATGGGGGGGGGGGGCTTTCCAAGATCTTAGAAAGTGATCCAGGGCTGCACTCTTCCATGGTCTGCGTGTTGAGTGGCTCTGGTCTACACAGCATTTATTTTGAAATAGAACACTGTGCAGGGTGCAGGGTTGGGGATGGAGGTTGGATGCAGAAGGGAGCTTGGGAAAGGGGGTTGGGGTGCAGGAAGAGAATGGAGTTTGGGAGGGAGTCTGGGTGAAGGAGGCAGTTGTGACCTAGGGCAGGGGATTGGGTGCAGGGTTTTGGGATGTGACTTAGTGTAGGAAGTGATTGTGATCTGGGGAAAGATATTGGAGTGCCCGATCTGGGAGAAGGAGGGGAGAGACTGGAGTTCCAGAAGCAAACTCTAGCCAGGAGACAGCCAACAGCCAAGTCTGCCTGCCTGCAGAGCAGAGGTTAAAATGTTTCTTAGTCAGCCAGCCAGCCTCCCCAGCCACGTGCTTGTGTGAACAAGAGGGGAGGGGGTATGGTGCTTTGCGGCTGCCTGTTATTTAAACAGGAAGGTCCCATGGGCCAGTTTCTGGCCATAAGCCAGCCAATGGGATTTTGCTAGGGGCACAGGCAGTACCTGAAGCTTTCCCTGTCCCCTCCAGGATTACAGTTTTAATGGGAAATAGGGCCCAGCAGCCATGTTACCAGGTGGGGATATAAGTGACTAATTAACTATCTGTGATGGAATGGACAAGGCCCCAATACCCCTGTGGGAGGCTTTTCCACACCCTGCCCAGTAACAGAAATAGAAGAATGGTCCTCCAAGCAGAACAGAGTGGCAGCCTCTGCTGCTAGAGCTGAAGTACCTGCATAAGTACTCTCTGCTACTGCAGGGCTACTGCAGGGCTGCTCATTCTGCCTCTTGCTGTGCTTCCAGTATCGCCTTCTGTGCCTCTGCAGTGCTATGCTGCTGCTGGGCCAGCAGACTCTCCCACTCCTCCATTACCCCTTGTATGCAGGGATGGCTCATAACTCCCACTCCTGGTACCAGTGTAAAGGGTTCTGCCCTTCTTGTGAGCACCACTCAGTGGCTGAGGAGAGTCTTATAGTCTCTACTCAGCTGTCTGCAGGAGAGTAAGTTTCTGGTATGTGGCCTGGGGCCAGACCTCTTCTTTTACCTCTGTTGTGGCTGCTGGGGGGTTGGGGGAGGGACCCAGGCCCACCCACTCCTGTGGGTTCAAGCCCACAGACCCTATAAGTAGCAGTTACCTGCAGAGTCTCAAAGTGATTGGTTGTCGTCACGCTCCCTGGGCCACTTCTCCAGGAAGCTATTCCATCCAGCCCTTTCTCTAGGGCCTTGTGATCAAGTTCTCCCTGTTCGGGTTCTGCAAGGGTTGCCATTGGCTTACTGAATAGTCAGCCATGGGACCTGATTCCGACCAGGTATGAAGTCTAACGCCTACTCGGAGCTGTCCAGAGTACTGATCTTCTCCCAGTCAGCCATTAGTTGAGCTGGGTTGAGCTCCAGGAATGAACTGCCAAGCCCTGACCTAGCAGCTTCTTTTATATCAGCCTGCTGCACCCTGATTGGCTACCACAGAAGCTGCCACTCTGTTCTGCTTGGAAGACCTCTCTTCTCCTCCTGTTGCTGGGCAGGGTATGGAAAGGCCTCAAAGCAGGGATATTAGGGCTTTTCACACTATCCAATAAGCATAAGCTTATCAGATAGTTGACTACTCCCTCAGCTAGTTGCTCCCTCCCATCTTGCTGCCTCTATCAGACTAGTCCAGGGAAATTCCATCAATTAGCTGATTAAATGAAATTTAACATTCCTATTTCCAAGTGGCTTGCAGGGCTGCAGGGAAAGCAAGGCAACCAGCCTGAGGCTCCCCACTGCTTCTGTGGGCTAATCTGGCCTGCAGGCTTGTAATTTGCCCAGACATGGCTTAAAGGGAACTCAGGTTATAGGGTTTCTCCCCTGTGTGGGTTCTGTTATGTTGAATGAAGTCTGACCTGTGTTTGAAGCCTTTTCCACAATCAAAGCAATTATGGGGTGTCTCTCTTGTGTGTATTATCTGGTGATCAATGAGGTGGGAGTACCGACTGAAGCATTTCCCACAGGCAGAGCATCTGAAGGGTTTCTCTCCTGTGTGGATTCTCCTGTGGATAACAAGATTTGAGCTCTGACCGAAGCTTTTCCCACAGTCAGAGCAGCTGAAGGGTTTCTCTACTGTATGGCTTCTTTCATGTTTCACAAGGTCTGACCTTTCCTTGAAGCTTTTTCTACAGTCAGAGCAGCTGAAAGGTTTCTCCCCTGTGTGGATTCTCTTATGTCTAACAAGGTGTGACCTCTGACTGAAGCTTTTCCCACAGTCAGAGCAGCTGAAGGGTTTCTCTACTGTATGGCTTCTTTCATGTTTCACAAGGTCTGACCTTTCCTTGAAGCTTTTTCTACAGTCAGAGCAGCTGAAAGGTTTCTCCCCTGTGTGGGCTCTCTTATGTTGAATAAAGTGTGACCTCTGTTTGAAGGCTTTTCCACAATCAGAGCAGTTATGGAGTGTCTCTCTTGTATGTTTTATCTGGTGATCAATAAGGTCCGAGTGCTGACCGAAGTATTTCCCGCAGTCAGAGCAGGTGAAGGTTTTCTCTCTTGTGTGGATTCCTTCATGTTTAGCAAGGTCTGACCTCTCCTTGAAGCTTTTTCTGCAGTAAGAGCAGGTGAAGGGTTTCTCCCCTGTGTGAGTTCTCCTATGTCTAATAAGGTGTGATCTCTGACTGAAGCTTTTCCCACAGTCAGAGCAGGTGAAGGGTTTCTCTCCTGTGTGGGCTTTCTTATGATGAACCAAGTCTGATCTGTCTTCAAAGCCTTTTCCACCATCAGAGCAGTTATGGTCTGTCTCTCTTGTATGTATTATCTGGTGATCAATGAGGTGGGAGCGCCGACTGAAGCATTTCCCACAGTCAGAGCAGCTGAAGGGTTTCTCCCCTTTGTGGATTCTCTTATGTCTGGTGAGATTTGACTGCAAACTGAAGCTTTTCCCACAGTCAGAGCAAGTGAAGGGTTTCTCCCCTTTGTGGCTTCTCCAATGTATAATAAGGTGTGAACTGCAACTGAAGCTTTTCCCACAATCAGAGCAGCTGAAAGGTTTCTTCCTTGTGTGGGTCCTGCTATGTTTAATAAAGTCTGAGCTGCGTTTGAAGCCTTGTCCGCATTCGGAGCAGTTATGGGATGTATCTCTTGTATGTATTATCTGGTGTTCAATGAGGTGGGCACGCCGACTGAAGCATTTCCCACAGTCAGAGCAGCTGAAGGGTTTCTCCCCTTTGTGGATTCTCTTATGTCTAGCAAGATTTGACTGCAGACTGAAGCTTTTCCCACAGTCAGAGCAGCTGTAGGGTTTCTCCCCTCTGTGGCTTCTCCAATGTTCAATACGGTGTGAACTGCAACTGAAGCTTTTCCCACAATCAGAGCAGCTGAAAGGTTTCTCTCCTGTGTGGCTTCTTTCATGTTTCACAAGATCTGACCTCTCCTTGAAGCTTTTTCTACAGTCAGAGCAGCTGAAGGGTTTCTCCCCTGTGTGACTTCTCCTGTGTCTAAGAAGATGTGACCTCTGACTGAAGCTTTTCCCACAATCAGAGCAGCTGAAAGGTTTCTCTCCTGTGTGGGTTCTCCTGTGTGCAACAAAGTTTGAACTGTGACTGAAGCTTTTCCCACAGTCAGAGCAGCTGAAGGGTTTCTCTCCTGTGTGGGATTTGTTATGTTTATCAAGGTCTGAGCTCTCACTGAAACTCGTCCCACAAAAAGAGCATTTGAAGGGCTTCTCTCCTGTGTGTTCCTTTTCATGTTTAAAAAGAGTTGCACAATCACTGCAAGTGCAAGGTGACTGTTGATGGGGGATTTTCTGTTGAACAGTTTCTGTGTTTGTTTTCACCCCTTTGCTTCTGTGACTGGATTTACCCTGCCCCTCTCCTGTATAGTTTCCCTGCCACCTTTGTGGGGTACACTGACTCTCACAGGTCTCTCCTTGTTCAGGACTCTGAGAAACATGCCCTTCAGATCTTTCCAACACCACCCCACTTGGAGCCATTCGCTCTGGTC